CGCACACACACGCACACACACGCACACACAGGCGCTCACACGTGCACACACGCCGTCAGCAGCGGGCAGGTGTGTGCGGTGTGCCTCCAGGCTTGCCCACCTGACAGGAGGAAGGGTGGGGCTCCGAGAGGTGAGGCTCACCCGAGTGTCACACCCACACCCACCCCAGGGTGCTTCCCAGAAGCTGCCATTCCTGACCGGCCGGGAGCTGTTTTCCTGTTTTCTTTACTAACAAGCCAGTGCCCTGTTTTCTTTTCCCTCCTTATCGGAGTTACACGTGACCTTAGCGAGCAGGTGTCCTGGGCCTGGTCTGTGTCACCTGCTGGGGCCGTGCTGAGTCAAGTGTATGGGGTCGTGCCCATCAGGGGTCCCGCTGTCCTGAATCCTTGCCCCACTTGGCGCACAACGCCCGACGCTGGGCGGGAAGCTGAGACAGGACACAGGCTGCCCTCCCTCGCCCTCCAGTGCCATCTGCCCCGCACGGCAGGGCAGCTGAGAGGCTGCATGCCCAGAGGCCTGGGCCCAGGCGGACGGGCAGGCAGTGATTAAAACAGTCTGGGGTCACCGCCGAGGCCGGAGCGCGAGGGGGCGGGTACAGGCCACGTGGGTCTCTGCTCTTTCGGTGGAGAGCTTTCGAGCGCCCCACTGTCGCTCCAGCTGGAGCCCAGCGCCCGCGGACGGGCGGGGTCCTACCTGCAGCTCCTTGTCCGAGTACTTCTGGGGGTTTTTGCTGCCCTGGCTCTTCTTACGCAGCTTCTTCAGCTCGGCCTGGCACTTGTCCAGCGCGTCCCCTTTGCTCCTCTGCTCCGTCTGGTACTTCTTCAGCGCGGCCTGGCGCACACAGGACAGGACACAGAGCGGCCGATGAGCCCCCCGGCTCGGGGACAGAGGCCCACACAAGCCTCGGCACTCCCAGCCCCCGACTCGCGTCACAAACGCCAGCAGAGCCTGGCTCCGGAAGTGGGTGGGCATGAGGGGCGCGGTGGAGCGACCGCGGGACAGGGAGCCTGGGTGGGCTCCACGGAGAGCGACATCCTGCCCCTTTCTCACTAAAAGCAGCCCGGAGGTGGGTTCAGGGGAGCCGGGCACGTGGGTCACCCGCAGGACTGGTTCTGTCTGAACGGGCAGGAATGTCGGGGTGGGGGGACCCCTGGATGGGGGCTCAGAGAAATCGGGAACCTCTTAGAGGGAGGGAAGGACACAAACACCAACAGGCAGGGGCGGGCGGGGCTACTTACACTCAGGTACCTGGAGTCCAGCTCCACCTTCTGCTCCAGCTGTGTGAGCAGCTCATTGTGAAAGGACTTCAGCTGCACCGGGAGAGAACACGCGTCGGTCAGTCCCGACGTGCGGGCGGGAGCACCCCGAGGGGGGGAGACGGAGGCAGGACCCCCCCTGGGGAAGGAGCAGGGGCATCCCCAAGGGGGAGAGGGGCCCGGCTGATCTGGGAGCCGACCACCCTGCAGGGACGGGTGGGCCCCTCGGAGCCAGAAGTCTCTGGGAGGAGGGAGCAGAAGCCCATGTCCGACCTCCCTGGCCTCCCGCAGGCCCGTCTGCCCCGACCCAGGGCCATGCTGGGCAGCTGGACTCACCATTTCTTCCAGCTGGTTCTGGATCTGCCTGTGGACTTCGGCCATCTGGAAGAGAACATCTCCTGGACACAGGACGGCAGGAAAGGAAAACGGTTAGGTCAGGACTCAGTCGACGTCCCTGTCATCCTACTGTGGCTGAGAAGTGGGGCACCAGGCCCGAGGGGCCACCAGCTGGCAGGCAACCCGTGATGGGCACCCTGAGCGCCTCTGGGGACCCAGGGCACCAGCCAGTCTCTCAGGACGCTGGCACGCTCTCCCACATTTGCGGGAAGGTGTCCGCACAAAGGTGCAGTGGTCACCTGGAGGCTACTTCCAGCCTGGACGTGAGGGAGTGTGGGTGTGGAGGACCCGCCCCCCCCAAATGGCTGTGGTCGGGGGGCTGGAACACGGTCTTGGCCGCATTCGTTTGAGCTGCAAATATTTGCTGAGGACCATTTTCTCTGGCAGGCACAGCATGTGCTGTGGACACAAGCCAGATGCCCACCTTGAGATGTTCCTCGAGGGCAGCCCCTTCCTGGCGTGTCCTGTCTCTGAGTGCTGCCCACACCAGGATGTCCCTCCCCTGCTCTTGGCCTGGCCCCTGGGATCACGTGACCCACAGGGTCTTTTTGGAGGCAGCCACAAGGAACATCTCCAGCCCCCAACGAGGCCACGCTCCTGGGACACTGCAGGAAGCCCTAATGGGATGGCAATGCCCTCTCCAAGACCACACCCCACCCCAGAGATGACCCCATGCCTCCGAAGAGGGGTCACGTCCCCTCTCTGAAGCACGGCTGGGTTCTGGGAGATCCAGCTTCTCCTAGTCATCTGGCCCTTCCACTGGCTGCTGACACTGTGTTCGCCCTGATGGCCGTGGGTACCTGGAGCACCGACCATGACCAGCGGCCTGTAGAAGGATCTCTGCCCATTGGCACAGCCCTGAGCCCACCAGCTGCCCCCTGAACAGTGGGACAGGCACCCACCCTGCAGGCCAATGGCTCTGCCTCCTGGAGGCCCTGGGCTGTCAGAGGTCCCCCAAGAGTGGCTGCAGCCGTCCAGGCCCCCCACCCACTGTCGGGGCCTGAGTTACTCTCACTCTCAACACCACTGGGCCACGTTCCTGAAAGTCTGGCTGCACAGATTTCAGTTGAAGGAGAGGAAGGGACGAGACGTGGGTGTGGCCCAGGACAGCCCGGAAGACGAGACCAGGCTGCCACCACCTTGCCCTGCCTGGTACAGGCCCAGCGGGGAGGGAACCCCAGAGCACTCTCCTCAGCCCCCCGCCCTGTCAGCACCCCCCGGGGGGCTGAGGCTCCTGGGCACTGCCCAGGGCGTAACTGTGCCGCTGCTCCAAGCTGCTGAGAGAACTGGGCACGCAGGAAACCCAGGCACTCGGGTCAGACCAAGAGCCCGGAAGGATAGCACCGGGCCCCTGCCTCTCCGTGCTTTTCAGAGCCTGTAAACTTCCCAGGGTGACCGCTGAGGCTCCGGGATCAGAAAACCGCCTGGAGCCCCGTCTGTGTTCCTGAGACTCGGCTCTGGGTCCCCCTCCCGGCCCTCGGGGCTGCAGGCTCTGGGACTTGGTTACACTGAGGCCAGGGGTTGGCGGTGCCACGTGGCCCCAGGGCAGAGCCCTCACACACCCGCCCGCCCTGTGACCCCATGACCCTTGTGAGGGATAACAAATCCGTAACTAAGACGCAAAGCAAGCGGCGGTGACGGTCACATGCGGTCCAGCCAAGGCCCCACCGGGCAGGGTGCACGCCAGCAGCCACACAGGCCCCAGGATTACACGTTCACTACTAGTTCAGAACGTTAGAAAAAGTCAAGAATCGTGAGTAGCAAACCCTTGAGAGAGAGATTTCTCGATGCCAACAGAGTACCCGAGGCCACTACACGGGCACCGTGGACACGCTCAGGCACACGGCAGTACCCCAACCAGCCGGAGCCCCACCCTCGGGCCCACAGCACAGCTGAGTCCTAAACTCAGAAAGCCAGTTTTAAAACAGCAGCTCGGGCGCAGCCTCCCAGAGTGGCTGCACCAGGGGCTCAGAGCCAGGAGGCTCCGACAGACGGGCGGCCTCGGCCCCCACCCCACCCAGTGTTTACCCTGCGAGTCGAGCAGCCAGGTCAGCGGTGAGTCACCCCCCGGCACACTCTCAGCCCGGGGGCCCTCGGGAGCCTCAAACATGGCCTTTCATTTTCAGGTTGGGAGTGAAACTCAATCCACGTGGCAACGCCCTCCCCTAACGGAAAAGCAGAGGCCGGGGCAGCCATACACACGTACACACAGGCACACACACAGGCACATGCACACACACAGGCACATACACACACACACACACAGGCGCACACACACAGGCACATGCACACACATAGGCACATACACACACACACACACAGGCACACACACACAGGCACATGCACACACATAGGCACACACACACACACACAGGCGCACACACACAGGCACATGCACACACATAGGCACATACACACACACACACAGAGGCACACACACACAGGCACATGCACACACATAGGCACACACACACACACACACGCGCACACACACAGGCACATGCACACACATAGGCACATACACACACACACACACAGGCACACACACACAGGCACATGCACACACACAGGCACACACAGGCACATACACACAGGCACATACACACACACACAGGCACACACACAGGCACATATACACACACAGGCACACACACACAGGCACATATACACACACAGGCACACGCACACAGGCACATACACACAGGCACACACACAGGCACATACACACAGGCACATGCACACACACATGCACACACAGGCACACAGGCGTGTCCACGCCCAGATGCGCACGCGCACACACACACACACACACACACACACACACGCCACGAGGGGCGGGCCGTCTTGCCCCCGGCACAGCGCGCTGTGGTGAGTGCAATGTGCACAGAATGTCTGCTGGACACGGGCTGTCTTGTGTGGCTACCACCACCTNCACACACAGGCACATACACACAGGCACACACACAGGCACACACACACAGGCACATACACACACACACAGGCACACACACAGGCACATATACACACACAGGCACACACACACAGGCACATATACACACACAGGCACATACACACAGGCACACACACAGGCACATACACATACACACAGGCACACACACAGGCACATACACATACACACAGGCACACACACAGGCACATACACACAGGCACATGCACACACACATGCACACACAGGCACACAGGCGTGTCCACGCCCAGATGCGCACGCGCGCACACACACACACACACACACACACACGCCACGAGGGGCGGGCCGTCTTCCCCCCGGCACAGCGCGCTGTGGTGAGTGCAATGTGCACAGAATGTCTGCTGGACACGGGCTGTCTTGTGTGGCTACCACCACCTTTGTTGCAAACAACTGTGACGTGGGGGCTGCAGCAGCAGAGGTCGGGTGACCTCGGGAGGCTGGGTGGAGCCCTTGTCCCCTGCAGTGGGAGCCCAGCCCTGGGCAACGGGCAGGCGGGCCTGGCCAGCCTTGCAGTGGGCACAGACGCTGGAGCTGCTGGAGCCCAGGCCCGGGTGTGCCCCTCAAGAGCATTCACAGTGCGAGCAGCCACCCCCACCCGACTCCAGAATGTTCCAAAAAGAGCCGGTGCTCCCGAGGCCCTGGCAACCAGTGACTGTGGGCTTCCCCGGTCCAGGCCCTCACGTAAGTGGAATCCCCGCTGCGTGGCCTGGGGGTCAGCTCCTTCCTGAGCAGGTTTCCACGGTCGTGCGCACGTGGTGGCCGCGGCCGGTCTCCCGCCCTGCCGAGGCTGAGCGACGTTCCAGCAGGCGGTGGGCACGTTTACTGTCCTGCTGAAGCGATAACCTGCTCACCTTAGGAGTGTTTTACCTCACCCTGACCCTGCACTCCACGGGCACAGTCTTCGCAAGACGTGTTTTCAGGTTTTCCCAGCTGCCGCTCCCCCCGCCCGGCTCTGCTCCCCGCTGAGTCCGCAGACCTTAGGGTCGAGTCCCATGCGAGTTACTGCCCTGGGCTGTTTTCACACTCGCTCCGCACACGCACCCACACTCCCTTCTCTGAAACTGGTGAGCAAGCCGAGCGCTCGCCCTGCAGGGTCATTCATGGCAAACCCTGCCCCCCTTTGGGGTCACCGTGACAACGTGTCCATTGCTTTTCTGGCTTTTATTCTACAGTCAAGACTATAAATTCTCCGTTTTGTGGCTTTTTGTAACTTTGTAGCACTTCAGATAGCGTGTTTATACTTTGTTGCATAGAGTAAAAGGATTGTGGTGAATAAACCTAGGATTGGAATTGGGGAAAAAAAAAGAGCCGTGGGACTGGCAGGATCAGGAAGGACTACGGCCCGTCCGTGGGCCTGGAGGCCTGGACAGAGGTCAGAAGCGGGCGGGGGGTGGAGGGAGGTGATCGGAGGCCCTTCTCCCTGCCTCTCTGGGCCTTAGCCTGGTGCAGACCTGCCTCCCACGTGAACTGGACAAGACACCAGGCGGGGCCCCAGGGCCGAACGCTGGCGCAGAGGCTTTGGGGTGGGTCTGAGGCCTGTGGCAGCCACACCCCGAGGTTCCCATCAAAGGCTCCAGGTGATCAAAGGGCTGAGTCACCTGCGCCCTTCCCTGGGGCTCAGAGGAGGCAGAGCGCGGTCTGCTCCCAGCACAGCCTTCCAGCGGGGGGCACTGCCCCGCCAAGGCCACGGGCACCGCCTGGGCGCCCTCCTGTTGCCACGTGTGCCCTGCTGCTTTTCTGAGACGTACGTACGCGTGTCAGCGAGCACACACTTTTTCGTCAATCCACCTGAAATGCAGTAGCGGGGGTCACGGCACAGCCCCCAGTCCGTGCCCAGCCCACTGACGGAAGTGCAAGGACCCTGGGCCTTCCCGGCGCAGCGTTCCTGACACTCGGCGAGGGCCGCTGAGCCCCTCATGCCAACCACACAGTGTCCTGGGCACCCTCACCGCCTGTGCACGCAGGGCACCCCGGGTCTCACCCCGGCTCGTCTCTCTTCTCTGACGACCCAGC